ACTTTATCATACAATAAAAGTGCTTAGAAAGGAGGACAATTGACAAAAGAGGGAAATCTTCAATTATTTGGATTGATACAGCAGTAGCTCAAGTATGTCAGAAAAGTTGAAGATGTCAAATTATAGGACCAGAGTTCATGTCTGTTGTTCATAGGGTTGCTATGAGTCATGCTTCATTTGACAGCACCTACCAATAACAGTCTCAGATACAATATTTTAAGGGGCTGAAAATGTAAATAAAGAATTCATAGAGCAATTTAAGAGAAATCAAAGTAAATATTTAGCAATAAGTATTATATTTATTTAATATTATATGTATCCAAATAGAGAATAAAATAGAGGCGCAAAGAAAAAAAAAGAAAACATCTTCATATAAGTCAAATGAGTATAGAATTTATGTGTGTATGATTGTCATTAGGTTGTTTAGAAGTTTGGATTTTGTTCTAAATAAGTAAGAACAAAAATGAGTAGGGGTTTAATTCCAGGGTGTTAGATATTTAAGAATGCTTCTGCTGTAGTGCATCTCTTTAAAGTGTTAAAGAGCAAGGACATCACTTTAAAGATTATGATATGCCTTACAGAAGCCATAGTAGTACTTTTAGTTACTGCATTGTGTGTGAAAGTTGGACAACGAATAAAGAAGACTGAAGAAGCATCAATGCTTTTGTACTATGGGGTTGGCAAAGAATATAGAATTTACCACGGACTGCCAAAAAATCAGATCAATCTGTCTTGAAAGCAGTGCTGCCAGAACGCTCTTTCAAGGCAAGGATATTTTTAAGCCAATTTATCTTATTATTGTGGACATACAGTTGGAAGGGGAAATCTTTATAGCAAGTCATTGCATTTAGAAGAATAGAGTGCAGTGGAAAAAGAAAAGAATTTCAAGGATATAGATTAATACAATGATGCAACAATGTAGTTAAGAAGGATAGTTTGTGAGGATAGTACAGGAATCAAGTAGGATTTTAATTTCTTTGTACCAAGGTAGTTTTGGATTATCCAATCACTCAATGGCACCTAACAACAACAACACTATGAATGTTATTCTTTAATCTAAGCACTTTTAAATATTAAAAGATATCATTGATAGGAGTTTTATTTGATATTAAAAGAAATCATTGACGGGCATTGTATTTGAAAGAAAGAAGCATATTAACAGAGAAAGGCAGGTAGGAAGCAAGAGAGAGGAGGAGGGAGGAGGGGGGAGAGAGAGAGCACTAATATTATGATTAGCAAATTCAACTGAGAGGAATGATGAGATGATGAAGAATCATCAGATAGTGACTGGGAAAATCTGAATATTCACTCTGAAATATAGATCTTATTTCCTATCGTCCTATCATTACAGATACATTTTGTAGAAAATTTTATACTTTTAAATTTTAAGGATACAAACACTCTGGAAATAAACTGAATATGTATTCATATAATTGTCACACAATTACTCATTCCAGAAACTGGTATAGGACATACTACTGATCTATTATTTTAATTATAGAACTATGCACCTGTGGGTGATAAGGTGCATACTGTTCAAAGTCTCCAAAGAGAAAGCTATATATCTATATATATATATATCTATATATATCTATATATATATACATAGATATTCATATATAGATGTTTTTGTTGTTATATGCCATCGAGTAACTTGTGACTGATAGCAGCTCTATGTACAACTCTAAACAGTGCTTTATGTTGAGACAACCTCATTGTCTCTGACACACCTACCCCCATTACCTGAGTGACTAAGTCAATCCATCTCATCTAGGTTCTTCCTTTCTTGTGTTGTCCCTCCACTCTTTCAAGCATGATGTCTCTCTCTAAGGACTGGTTCCTCTTAGCCGCATGCTCTTATACATTGTTGGGATTGTAAAATGATACAACCATTTTGGAAGACAGTTTGGCACTTTCTCAAAAAGCTAAACGTAGAAATTCCATATCACCCAACTATTCAACTGCTTGGAATACACCCTGAGAAAATGAGAATTGAGGCAAAAATGGACACTTGTACACCAGTGTTCATAACAGCATTATTCACCATTGTGAGAACGTGAGAACAGCCCAGATATGCAATCACAATAAAATGGATTGAAAAATTATGGTACATTCATACAATGGAATACTATGCAGCATGCAGGAGCAATGGTCTTATAAACTATTACCTAATTTAGGAGGGATTAAAGAGCATTATCCTGGGTAAACTGACTCAGTTCCACAAGGACATATATTGTTTAAAACCATTATTGTAGAATGAGAATGAGGATCCAAGGAAGGGCTATGGTAGGAGCAGAGGGATGAGGATATGCAAAGGGTGGAGGATGGTGGTGGATTAATGATGGGATTGTACAGTTTGATGGGAGGATGAGGGCAATTGGAAAAAATCTGGTCTGAAAAACAATGTATTCAATTTTTGTAAATAAAATTCTTTAATTAGAAAAACAAAATCCTTGACCTCAAGGAACGAGCTTATGTCACTGTCTCTAGGATGAACCTGCTGTTGTTTTCTGAGCAGTGCATGGTATATTCAATACTCTTCTCTAGCACCACAATTACTCAAAGCCATTGATTCTCCTTCTGTTATCCTTGGTCATTGTCCAGCTCACTGATGCATAACAAATAATTCCAAATATCATGGTGTTGATTGAGCACACCTTTGTCTCTAAACTGAAATAATTTTTCTTCATTCAGTATTCTGGAGACATCCATGACATCAGATTTTCCCAATGCAATTAATTTTTTTATTTCCTGACTGCTGGTAAAAGTGTGTTGATTGTGGAGCCAAGCACACTGAAGCTGTTAACAGTCTCAATATCTTCACCATTATCATGAGTCTCCCAATTGGCCCAGTGTTGAGAATCTTTGTTTTCTTGATGTTGAGCATAAATCTATATTGAAGGCTTCAGTCTTTGACTTTCTTCAACAAATATATGTAATTATATTTTTTGTGTACTGTAGAGTTGGAACCGACCCATAGCTGACCTTCCAGTGGATAATCAGAGACATTAATTGAATAAGAGGGACTGGAGTATGTTGTAGTTGTTATGTGTCATAGAGTTGCCTGCAACTCATGGTGACTCTATCTACAATTGCTCTGAAGCCTACCCTGTCCTAAGTCAACCTACTGACTCTGATTCACCTATCCTTATTGTCCTATCAATCTACCTCATCAAGGGTCTTTCTCTCTTATGCTATCCCTCCACCCTTCCAAGTTTGATGTCCTTCTCCAAGTAGCAGTCCCTCCTGGCCACATGCCCAAATTATGTAAGATATAGCTTCAAAATCCTAGCCTCCAAGAAGAAACTTAGTTTCACCCTTTCCAAGACAGACCTATTTGTTTTCTTGGCTGTCCATGGTATGCTCAAGATTCTTCTCCAGCACCACAACTCAAAGACATTGATTCTTCTTCTATCATCCTTAGTCATTATTCAGTTCTCTGATGCATAGCAGGTAATTGTGAAGACCATGGCCTGGATCAGGTGTACCTTAGTCTCTAGATTGATATCATTGCTTCTCAGTACTCTGGACAGGTCTCTGTCAGAAGATTTGCCTAATGTAATTCATCTTTTGATTTCCTGACTAATGGTGCCAAGAGCATTGATTGTGGAGCAGAGCAAGCCGTAAATGTTAACAACTTCAATCTTCTCCATCCATTACAGTGCTGGCAGTTGATGAAGTGGTGAAAATCTTTCTTTCTTGATGTTGAGCTGCAATCTATATTGAAGACTACAGTCCTTTGATTTTCTGCAGCAAGGGCTTCATGTTTCTTCAGTTTCAGCAAGCAATATTGTGTCATCTGTATAATGTAGGTTGTTGATGGGTCTTCCACCAACCCTGATCCCACAGTCCCTACATAGAGTCCCCACTGGAATGAATTCACACACACACACACCCCAGTCTCCTTCCATTCTCCATCTGTGTTACATAGATGTAATTTACCTTATGGGACACACATGCTTGCAAATACACAAACAGACAAATGTTTTACAATGAAGTCAACACAAAATTAAATCTACTGCTGTTTAGTGGAACCAACTCATAACCAATGTGTCAGTGGGTGTTTTGAAGATGTAAATCCCATGGAAAGTGATTATTTATCTTTCTCTGACAAATGCTCTAATGGATTCAGATCACCAGAGGGGTTGTTGTTGGGTTTGCAGCCAACACACTATGGACAACTCCATAAGAGTTTTTCCTACAATAAAATATTCTATGTACATGTCAATGTACATCATATATGAAAAGCTGTAGGCCATTAATAATTAGATTGACTTGCAACCTTTTTTATTCTTGAGAGAATAATCCTGATTTGTATTAAAAGAACTTAGTTTTCTATAATTAGGGTGTTTAATACTTTAAGTCATGGAAGGAAATCTTTTCCTAATGCCAAAGGAAAATTTGCGATCATCAGTGTTCAACATGGGAAGGATGACTTACTCCAATGGAAGTCACAAAAAAGAGTAAAGAATAAGGGGAAGATGAAATGAATAAATACTGTTGAGGAATAAGACAACTGCAATGAGAAGACTGACTTGAGAACTGTTTATGCATGTACCAAATTCCCAAGACTTAAACTGAAAGATTTCTAAAAATAAGACTAAGGGGTTTGAATAAGTGACACAGTGAGACAGAAATTAGTACCAGTTAATTCAATGGTTGCATGTTTGCTGTGATTTTTTGTTTTGTTTTGTTTTCCCCTTCAGTTTTTGGGAGTGATTTAATGAAAGACCACTGTGTCTTAGGAAACCATGGACAATGGAGACAAGGAAGAAGAAACTAAAAGTATTCCAACAGGGCATGTTATTAAGCCTTAGTTTGTCAATTGTAGTAAATTCTGATATTTTCTAGAACATAAAAGAATGGGAGATTCATTTTAAGAAGGCTTTTGATAAAAATGAAATTTTTGTCATTATATAAGAGTGAAACAGTCATATTAATGTTATTATTGTTGTTGTTATAATTATTAAATATTATAATCTTCAGGTATAGTAGAGATGATGGATGGTGTCAATGACAGCTCCCAAAATCATTTCATCCTTTTGGGCTTTTCCGACCGCCCTGATCTGGAGAGAATCCTCTTTGTGATCATCCTGATTGCCTATCTCCTGACCATCGTTGGTAACACCACCATTATCCTAGTGTCCCGCTTGGATCCTCACCTCCACACCCCCATGTACTTTTTTCTCACCCACCTCTCCTTCTTGGACCTCAGTTTCACCACCAGTTCCATCCCTCAGTTGCTCTACAATCTTAATGGACGTGACAAGACCATCAGCTACATTGGTTGTGTCATACAGCTTTTTCTGTTTCTGGGTCTAGGTGGCGTGGAATGCTTACTCTTGGCTGTCATGGCATATGATCGATTTGTTGCAGTCTGCAAACCCCTACACTACATGATTATTATGCATCCTCAGCTATGCCTGGCTTTAGTGTCTATTGCTTGGGGCTGTGGGATTGCCAACTCTTTGATTATGTCCCCAATGACCTTGGAGTTACCCCGTTGTGGTTACCTCAAGGTGGATCACTTCTTATGTGAAATGCCAGCTTTGATCAGGATGGCTTGTGTCAACACAGCTGTTGTTGAAGGCATTGCCTTTATTCTGGCAGTGGGCATTGTGCTGTCACCATTGGCTTTTATCCTGATCTCATATGGATATATTGTAAAGGCTGTATTAAGCATTCAGTCATCCTCTGGGAGACACAAAGTCTTCAACACATGTGGCTCCCATCTTACAGTGGTATCACTTTTCTATGGAAACATCATATACATGTACATGCAGCCAGGAACCAGCTCCTCCAAGGACCAAGGCAAATTCCTCACCCTTTTCTACAACATTGTCACCCCACTCTTGAACCCACTGATCTACACCCTCAGGAACAAAGAAGTAAAGGGGGCACTAAGGAGGATGCTTCTGGGTAACAGAGAGATGAGAAAGGACTAAGGCCTGATATCACCACCTTGGGCACCAAGGCCTCATCAGCATGTCCAGTGAGGATTTGGTCTCGGTCTGTTATCTCCTCCTTACTTTTCTCTTCTCGGATTTTTTTTTTCTTAAAAAGTGTTTCCGTTAAGAAGTAACACAATTTTTTAAAATATGTGAACTACAAAACAGATGTTATTCCACAATGCCCCTCAGGGGACTAGTAAAACATTATAAAAAACAAGGAGATAAAATTGGTTATGAAATTTCAATTCTACAAACATACGGAGTGTCAGGAAGGAAATAGGTTTCTTAATCAAAGATTTTGGTTTGCTATTTGTTTCTGACTCATTCATAGAATTTTGTTTTGTGTGTTTGTCAGAATGATTACACCTTCTACCTTCAAGAGAAGAAATTTCTCTTTGTTGAAACCATCGGCTTTTGCTAGTTCTGCAACATAAGCTTCACATAGCAAGGTATCTATGTGGAAAAGAACAGCATAATGCTTGATTCTGAATCAAGCATAGCCAAGATTTCAAACCTATTTCAGTGCATTATTTTAGACATGGTGCCAATCACTGTTACTGAATGTATTCTCTATTCTAACTGCTTCTACTTTTACCAAATAACTTTATACTTACTTTGTAATGGAATATCCAAAACAAGGGAATTGGATAAGATTCTGTTGTTATCTGTAAGGTTGTTGTTAGCTAATATCAGATGCTTCCAGATCTGTTTTTTTCCCTAGAGTGTCTTTGTCTAGAAGCCCTATTTTTTTCAAATTAAAATAAAGTCCTTTTTATTTGATATTAGTTTGCACACAAAATTAATATATGTTGTGTATGAGTTATACATATTATGTTTAACATTTCCTATTCACATTGTGTTTCTTGCCATCATTCCTTATGCACTGTGTTTTATAAAATTAACCGCTATTGATTCATGCCCAACATTACTTTGACTTTTCAGGTCCACAATTCATCTTTCCTAATTCCTTCTCACCCCCTTTCTTTGTCCACCAAATTCTGTGACCTTGTGATTTCCTCCCTTCCTACCCTCAGCCCATCTTCTTCCTCCCTTTCCTCCTTTGGACTTTATTTGTATGTGTACTTCATTCATGTACATTATGATTTTATTTTTCATCCCCACCCTCCACCCTCTAAACTCTACAATGCTGTGATTTCTTTCTCCACATCCTTAGCCCCATTTCTCTCTCTCTTTCGTTCTTTGGATATCCATACACATCTTAACTGGTAACTAGCAATAAGAGAGATGCAAATCAAAACCACAGTGAAATACCATCTCACCCCAGTAATAGTGACAAAGTTTAGTAGAACAGTAAACAATAAATGTTGGAGAGGATGTGGGGTGGTGGGGACTCTCATATACTGTTGGTGAAATTGTAAAATAGTACAAATGCCTTGGAAGACAGTTTGTTGTTTCCTAAAAAAAGTTGAACACAGGAACTCCATATGACCCAGCTATTCCACTACTAGGGATATATCACAAGGAAATTAGAACTAAGACATAAAGATTTGTACATTGATGTTGATAGCAGCATTTTTCATGATCACAAGACTGTGGAAACAGCCCAAATGTCCAAACACAACTAAATAAATTGAGAAATTGTGGTACATTCACACAATGGAGTACTATGCAGCACTCAGAAGCAATGATTTTTTTTAAAAAACTACATAACTTGGGATAAACTGGAGAGCATTGTGCTTAGTGAACTGACTCAATCTGATAAGGACAAATACAGCATAAAACAATTTTTTAAAAAAGAAGAATAACTAGTAAAATATGTGTGGGAACTAAAGACGGGAGTTTGAGAATGGAGGGGAGAGGATGAGTAAGATGAAACCACACGGTTGCACAGTTTGTAGGAGGGAGAGAGGGAAGTAAATGAGAAGGAACTAGGTAAAGATAGGATAATGATGGGTAAACTCCACTGGTGATTAATTTTATAAAACATAATGCATAAGATTGGTTGTATGAAACACAATGTGAATGAACAATAGTATGAAACACGAAATAATAATAATAATAAAGACAAATTAAACCCACCCCAAACAAATGGACTGAGAAGTCATGGTACATACAGACAGAATATTATGCAGCATTCAGGAGCAATGACTTCGAACAATACGATTTAACGTGGGAGAGAGTGTACACAGCATTATGTTGAGTGAACTAAATCAGTCTCATAAGGACAGATACTGTATAGAAGGCCTATTGAAACATCTGTACTGTAAGGGAACCTTGCTGATGTTTTAAATACTAGTAGAATATCCTGCAGAATCACAGCAACAAGCTAATAATCACAATACACAAAACTATCATATTGATTATTAAAGTATCAAGAAGAAAGATAAGGACTGAAGTTGCTGCAGTTTTCCAGGAAAGCAAGAGAGAAAAGCGAGCATGACACGCATGGAAAAAATTGTTATAGAATCAAAGACTTTTCCATATGTGTGGTAGAAAGAAAGATAATGATGATATAAGCTATCACCCATGCAGAGTTTGTGTTCTAATTACTTTTCTTTTTATTTTTTAATTGTGATTTTAATAAAAGTTTACAGAAAAGTTTGATTTTCATCCATTAGGGATTGCACATTTTCCTCCCTATCCCCACCATTCACTCTTTTAAAAGAAAAAAATATTCATTATTACATCATTTCATCCCACCTCCAAGGTCACTTTGCTATACACCTCTTATTCTGGATTGTTGTCATAAGAATAATGCCTAGTTATATATTCCTTTTTTTTAATTATGTATTCCTTTTAAACAGTTATGTCCCTCATCTGTTCCAACGCAGTGTTTATTACTTATCCCCTTTTCTTTGTTATCTCCCCAACCCCAGTACTTGTCCTTTTGTAACTGAGATATTTCACTCATCCTAAAGTCCTTGAGAGTCACTCATGGTGTGTAATATTTCATGAGTTCCCTGGTTTTCAGGGCTGAGTAGCATTCCATTGAGTGAATATACCATAGTTTTTCTATGCATTCACTTGTTGATGGGCCCTTGAGTTGTTTCTATTTCTTTGTCATTGTTAATAACACAGCAATAAACATGGGTGTGAACAAATCTATTTGGGTAGAAGTTCTGGTTCTTTGGGGTTTATTCCTAGTTGTGGAATTGTTGGGTCAAATGGTATCTTTCTTTCCAACATTCAGAGAAAGTATCAGACCACCTTCCGTATTGACTGTACCATTTTACATTCCCATCAACAGTGAATAAGAATTCTAATCTCTCCACAACCTTGCCAGCATTTTTTGTATGCCTGCCCTAGATGGCACGTGACAACAACAAGGAAAAAGCAAAGAACTATTTTAGTTATGACTCTGTTTATGACTTTAAGAACCTATTCCTTAAAGAGGCTATTGTTTCTAAACCTCACTCTTTCCATCTTATAAACATGTCTTTTATAGACAGGGACCAGCAAAGATGAGCCAATTAAAATATGATTAAATAAAAGATGGAAGCCGATGAGGGAGAGAATAGTTTAAAAGTAATATATTTTAGGGCATTATAATTATCATAAGAGTCCGGAATGAGGGTTGCAGAGTGGAGTATATTTGGGTTTGGGGTGGGGGTGGGGGGGTGTGGAGGGATTGTGTACCAATGAGG